TGCCATAAAAAGCCATCTGTCAACGCGATTGATCTAATGAGCACAACTTGGAAAAAAAAACTCAGTTAAGCCGAGGTCGTAGTTGAAGACAAAAATTCTAACTTCATTTCCTGCCTTTAGAAGGAGTAAACAGAATTAAGAAATAGCCACAAGTACGCTGAGATACGAGCAGAACTCGAAATCCCAGGTGGGCATTTCCGAATTTTGCCGTATGTACGCATTCTTCTGACTACAACAGCGTCAGATTATCTTCTATCGGGAGTCAATTTATAGTTTTTTCAGCAGTGTGGAAGCGCCTATTACCAGAAGTTGCAAGTCTGTTTTCATCATACAAATATCATTACAGTGGTGATGCACTCCTCAGTCCTTATTAACTACATTGGAGCGCTTACATGGCTCTTTTTCGTTGTCTACGAGAACCTATACTTCACCCATTCATTGTGTTGCCGTCAAACCATTAGCCATAGAGAATGATTGCGTTTGGGGATTCGGGTAATCGGAGAATCCTTAGGAAATTGGGCATCTGCGAACTGGTGAGTACCACTTGAGTATGATTCTCTGGAAACCCAAAGTAGCCCTTACAATGTTATTTAGATTCCTCCACAACTGTAACGATTCCTTTGGCCGCCTGAGAGTCCTTTGACCAGCCCACCACTACTTCAGGGAGATGCAGCAAGCGGAAAATCTTATTCTTGCTTACTTATAAACTAAACTTTAGTCATTGAAGAGTTTATTCTTACTCACTGTCTGTATAGTCTAAACTTTCACACAGCTTGAATTCTTTGAATTTGAACCGAGCGTGTGGTGTGCTCCATGAGCAGCCTCTTTGGTGGAATCTCATCTTTAAAGGTTAAGAAACTATTTATGATAATGGTGCAACTCCTTGAATTATCATTTGCTAAATTTATTGTAATGTCCATATCACCATACAGCCATCAAGCAGACACTGAAAAAATTTGCATACCAAAAAATTTACTGCAGAATTTTTTGCTCTGTTCTTCATCATGAATATCCCGAGTAATTTCGCGGAAACCATCATGAAAGTACTGTTTTAGACAGTATTGAATTTTCAAAATCACTTCACTAAACCCACAGGCCGTAATACCAAACTTATTATCAACAATAATTTTTTTGTCTACTCAGTGACAACAGTCCAGAATTGTGTTTCAGTACAAATAATTTGATGACTAATTTACATATTGACTATTGGACTAGTAAACAACAAAATACGATGACTGTTTGACAATAGCCGATTACTGTACGTTTCATTTTCTACGTTTCGTTTAGGTTTCGTCTTATATGACTGTGAAAAGTGTTCACCTTTGTGGACTGCACGTCAATTTCGCTCTTTCAGACCCGACGAAGGCGAAACTGCCGAAATGTTAGCCTCTGATACGAACTTTATTGCACTATTTTGTACAAAATAAACGTGTATTAACAACCTCGTGTTTGTTGAACAAAAGAAAGTCCCAAAATTTTAAGACTGTCCTTTTTCAAAGGCTATGTGAGAAGTGGCGAAGAAAAACTTATGAACTTAGAGTACTATGAATTTTTATAGCGCTAAGGACTTTAATCTCATTTTACGCCCAGTAATGAGTTTAACGAGAACGAAGGATTTCGAGAAGGCATTTATAAAGTACGTTGGTAATTAATCACGCTAAGCTAAGGTCCTCAAAAAGTCTGAATGTTTTAGTACCTTATCGTGACAACATAGTGTTACTACTGTCAAATGGCAATGTGAAGGCGAAGTTCATTTTCCATTAAAGTTACTATCACGCTCTTAGAAAGAGTATGACATTGACATCGGAAAACTTGGATAAGAGTAAATCCATGGCGCTACGACGTTCAATCTGCAACTATCCACGGCAATTTCCTTGAGAACAGCGACAGGAATGTCCATCAGGAATGTGATAATCCTGGATCGAGTGTAGTTTAATCGGTAGCTCTGTGGTGCTCTCGCGAAGCACTTTGTCATGATTAGGAGACCACTGAAGATACAAATTACGTATTCTATAACGAGATATCGAGATCCAGTTAGGAAAAATGTTGCCAGTTGATGTTCGTCTATTAGTAGAGAAACAGAAAAATGCAACGTGAAGTATTCTAATTCAGAAGAATTCTTTTTACTTAACAGCTTTTTAGCGATGGTATGATGTTACAAATATTCCCAATGATGTTGAGTGTTGTACAAAACTTTGACGCAATTGGATGTGTTTGTAACATCGTGCCACCGCCAAAAAAGCGGTTGAATAAAACAAAGAAGATTTCTGATAACACATATATCCAATGTCTATCAGCGTAACTGAGAGCAATGTCGCTATGGCTTGAAAGGGCAAACCGTTGATGGTTGGTTGCTGACCGATTGATATGTTGCAGCGTAGAAAGAGTGATGGCAAAACAGGTAGTGCAATTGGATAAAGCACGCGCGCATGAAACGGGAGAAATGCAGGTTCGAGTCCCGCTGACGTCGAAATTTTGCACATCACTCAGCATCATTGGGTATATCTTAGCATTTCAGGTTCGTCGTGTTTAGCAGTTCGTCCAAGATCTTCTCAACTCAAGCACTCATCCATCAAGTGTTAGGGTTCGAAATCTCAGAAAGAAATGACTGTTATGAATACACATCTGAACGTATTGACTGGTGAGCAAAGCATCCGACATCAGCCGGGATTTGAACCCGTGTTTCATTCCCGGCTTAGAGGTGGGTAAGGAAGCGCGTGCTACCACTACACTAACGATATCACCGATCTGCTACCACTATTTCTGCGATATGAGCTACCGTAGCTATCAGCTCCCAGTCTTTAACAGGTTCGGACATCGGCATCGGACCCAGTTATGCTGAGAGCACGCGCCCCGGTCAAGGGTGAAACGTAGGTTCAATCCCGCTTGATGTCGAATGCTATGCATACAATCCAATATTTTCAGATGTATATTCATAACATCATGCCACTGCTAAAGGGCAGTAAAAAACAACGATTTCCACTTAGAGATGATTGTAATGAGATCCTGGTACGAGTTACGTATCACCTTCAATAGGCAACAAGAAAAAGGAAAACGTTTCCAGACGAAGTGGGGGTGTACCACGGTGATCTCGCCTCCACTCTGCCTCATTCCCATAGATTTTCGTGTATTCCTGGACAGGCAATGAGCCCTTCTCATCCGACTGTTTGTCTGAAAGCCTCTCAAAGTGCCTCGAGCCAGCAAGAGTATCGCCTCCAATCACCGCCCTTGCTAAAAATTGGGAAATATTGAGAGACAAAAACTGGGTTCCACAGTGATGAACTCACCTCCTGCCCTTTTTCCGCATCATTCCCATACATTTCTCGGCTTTACCGGACGCAGGCAATGAAGCCCATTCACCTCATCGTCCATTCTTCGCTTCGTCCCCATACATTTCCCGGTGTTCCCAGGGGCAGGCAATGAGCCCCATATCCCCTTCCCAAACATTTCTCGGTGTTCCCAGGGGCAGGCAATGAGCCCCATATCCCCTTCTCAAACATTTCTCGGTGTTCCCAGGGGCAGGCAATGAGCCCCCTCACCCGATTGTTTGGCTGAAAAGCCCTCCCCGCGACGATAACCATACGTTCACCACACACGCACACCTTCATGCCCTTGTAAAACCCCGTCTCTCGCCTGCCGCCGCCGCCGGTGTCGTCGTCCTTTAGCAGCGGACGGGCGGGGCTTGGCCGATTGCCAGGCTGGTAGCGCCGTCCACATGACCTCGTCGTCCGGCTTCTCTGCGCACACTCATACCGCACACTCTCTGCTGCGTCTCGTCGTCGACCGTCATCCAGTCGCATGATTCTCTCGCCGTTGTCGTGTGTCTGCGTCTCCTCGTCGCCGGCTGTTTCTCATCGGGGTGTCCTCCGCCGGTTGCATCGTCTCTGGATAGCGCTCACGGGAGTGGAGGCTTGGCATCTGGCCAGCTATTCGTCGTCTGCATGCGGCTTATCGTGTCCTTTTCGTCCAGTGATAATCAGTGTTTTTGTGCTCGCTGGGAGCTCTTTACGCGAGTTTTTCTGCTTATTAATATTTTTTCGTCTATTTGAATCGGTCCTATGTCTGTTCCTTGGTGTCCGGCTTTTTCTCGGATCCCACCATTTTTCCCAGATTTCGTTCAAATCGAGAAATTTTGCCACTCCCATACCTTGACGTTATTTGTTGTTCTTGTCCTCTACTAAGAAGACCATCAGCCTGCTCAGCTCCTGCTGCTGCCTGACGTGCACCCAATCCCCCTCCCTACCAGCCTCCCGTAGGGTCAACACTGGCGGTCGGTCCTTCGGAAAGGCTGGGGTGCGGGGAGCTGAACACCGACTGACTGACTACCCATCGTCGTCGTCGACCGCAACGGCGGCGGGGTGTGCAGCAGCAGCAACGGCGGCGGCATGGCGGCTTGCGAAATCGATTGATTGCCGGCGTCGTTAATCACTCCGTTCCGACGCACGCAGTCGTCGTCGGCTAAAAACTAAGCAGTTGTCGGTCGGTGTGCAGGGTCGTCGTGACTCGCCCCGGTCTGGTCTCGACGTGACATCACCAGGGCCCTCCCAGGTCCCGGAGGGCCCCACTTGGCCCGAGAAAGTCCGCATAGGGCCTTCATGTCCGAGTTTTTCTGACGATAGCGCTCGCGTAGATCGTTCTTTGTCAGCTTTCGCGTGTCAGTCTCTACGTTCCTTTTGTTTTTGTGAAATCTCCCTGATTTTCGTCGTTTTTATTGATTTGATCGATAGTTTCCGGAGGAAATCGGATTTGTGAATCTCTAGGCGGCCGAGATGGTTGCCCTTTTTGTTGTCGTTTTGTACTTTTACAACGTTTTCACCTCCCTATTCATTCGTTGATTCATCGATTCTCATTCATTTCCGACCTACATTTTTGCCTATATGCAAAGTATAGAGGGACTTGAAGGTGTCTAATAGTACTTAAGATGTTTTTCTCTATGGAGTTCCTCTTTTATTGTGGTATAATCGTTTCGTCAACAATGTTGAATGGTAGGCAGAACTTTGAGCGTCAGACGAGAATCGAACCCTCATCTCTTCTAGGTGCGCGTGCTTACCAGTTGCACTACCGGCGCTTCTGTTTTGCCTTCACTACTGTTTCTAATCATCGTTGCCTATTAAGACTTCGTTAGAAATCGTCGGTAGTGCAACGGTTAGCATACGCTCTCGGAAAGAGTGAGATCTGGGTTCGAATCTCGGCTGACGCAAACGTTTTTGCACCGCACTCCACATATTGTGTACACTATAACATCATACCACTGCAAGTGGCTGTCAAAATAGAAAGAATTTAGACTGATTTTCGTTAGAAATCTCTATATATCGATTCATGCGTTCTTGATCAAGTTATATGTGCAAACATTCCCATGGAAATGGCGGTGAGGTGTGTTTTTGAGGGCTAAATTTGTCCCAGAAGACTGATCTAGGCTAGATTCCTCTTAAAGGATCTAGCTAGGGCTAAATCGTTCTAAAAAGATTTAACTAAGACTAAATCTGTCTCAAAGAACATGTTTACGCCCCATAAGACTTAGGGAAGACTAAATTATTCTCAAAAGATCCAGCTGGCGCCAAATTTGTTCCAAAAGTCTTAGCTGGAGCTGCATTTGTCCCAGAATTCTCAACCAGGTTTAATTTGTCTCAGAAGATTCAACTGGGGCTAATTTGTCCCAAAAGATCTAGTTGCTAAGGCGTTCGCTTGTTGACTTTAGTGGTTGACCACATGTGTTTATCGTACGTGCGTATAGGAGTTCTTATCGCTATTCCACATCGTCCGTCCACAAACAGGTCAACTGTGAACCCTACGCTATCCCGAGCTTTTCGTCAGAAGTGCTACCCAGATAGATCACGAGGTAGTTCCCCTTCCGGATCGTTGTACCCACAAACACGTCATTGTGTGATCCGTTCGGACCCCGAGCTCGACCGTAACGGGTGCCGCCGATCTCCCACGAGTTTAACCCTCTTGTCGTTATCTCCACGAACCGGGTAGATGTGAATCGTCCTGATCACGAACGTCTCGCCCAGTTCCCACCACCTATCCTCCCACGAGGCAGTGCCCTTCTAATGAACATCATACCGTTACTGTTTGTTGCTGATGTGCTGTAGTTGTTGCAGCCGCGTGTGGTGGTGGCGACAGTGGTAGTGGTGGTGGAGGTGGAGGTGGTTGGAGACCACGAAGCATGTGCACCACACGTGTTGTGTGTTGGTTTGTACCAGTCCCAGCAGTTCGTGTCGTGTCGTCGTCAGTGTTTGAGCGTTGCCGCCATTGCTCCTCGACCACAGCGGGTTCTTCCGCCGGTCGCCGACGAACGCTCGTCGTTGTCGTCGTCGTCGTCGTCGCAGCAAGAGAAATTGTCTCGCGCGCGTCGCTAGCGCCAATTTCCATTCAGCAATCCACTACAGTTTGTCGGAGTCGCGTCATTAGAAGAAATGGGAATGTTTGAAGAGATCGGACACCTTCACCGAAGTGACCTCGACTTGACCTCGGAGTGAATTCCTTTAGACTTTTTAGCTCAAGGAAAATCGTTATCTAATCTACATTAGGCCAACATTTCGCCGCCCTTGTCTTTTTCAGAACCGACATGAGCCGAGTCGAATGTCCACAACCATTCACTCTTATGGAATCTGGGTGTTCGTGAAGGTGTCAAGTCAAATTTAGTGAAGCACTGGAAATAACATCACTATGCGCACACGGTCAAACAGAATCAATTGGGGTCTGAAGAAGGCGATGGCCTCGAAATATCAAGCGAATAAACACCAGGTGACGACTTTGTAGAAATTGAACATTCTAGAGAAGATCCCACATATTGACTGAAAACCTCAACTTGTTCTCGGCATATATTTAATCGAATTGCTCGGCTTGAACCGGCTGTTCTTGAGCTTCCATGTTACGACGTATCGGCGACTTCGTTTTCTTCAGAGCCAGATCGATCTTAGTCTATTGCACGGACATTTAATCATGTGATGTTGGTGTTCGTGATGGTGTCAAGTCAAATCCAGTGGAACACCGGATATAACATTGTATGCATCCACATTTTAAGAATGGAGGCTGTGGACAGCTAACCCTTCAATAGAAGTATAACAATGACGTCATCAAACTTGAACAGTCCAAATAAGCTCCGATATCTTCACCGAATCGACCCCAACTTGACTCATATTTTTTTACTTTGTTCAGCTCGTGCGAGATGTTACCAGGTTTGAAAGGCAGACGTTGAGAGGTTAGCCGAATAAGTAGGATAACGACGTCAAATAAAGTGAGCAGTTAAAAAAACATCTGACATCTTAATTAAATCGACCTCAACATGAACGAGGATGTTATGAAACTCCTATTCGACAAGTTTTTCGGCGACTTCGTTTCTTTGAGAATTCGACTGATCCGACTCGATTATCCACCGCCATTCACTCTGTGATCTGGATGTTCCTGACGTTATTGGCCGAATTCATTGAAGTGCCGGAAATAGCATCATTGTACGCACCTGTATCTGAGGAATGAATGACGGCAATCAACTTGAGTAAATCGGGCCCTGAAGAAGACGAAGGCGCGAAAGGATCAACCGTTAAAGGTTTGATAATGATCTCGGAAAAACTGAGCGATTCCAAGAAGACCCGACATCTTCACTGAAGCGAGGTCAACGTGACCTCGACACATAATTCTTTGGATTGATAAGATTGAACAAGGTGCTCCTACTCGACTACTCGACTATTTTTTTCGGCGGCTTCGTTCTCTTCAAAATTCGGCTGTTCGAGTTGATTGTCTATCCATTCATTATTGTGCTCTGGCTGATGTGATGGTACCGAGTCCGAATTCAGCAGAACACTGGAAACATCATTGTACGAATCCGTAACGGGAGAATGAATGGTTGTGGGCCGTAAGTCCGCGCCAATCGAACATTGAAGAAGGTTAAGGCGTCGAAAACGCTGACCGAGTAAACACTTGATAACAATCTCTTACAGGTTGGGAGGCTAGAGAAGATCTCATATTTTTTTCTTGGAATTATCTTTTCAAGCTTCTGGCAGACCTTTTCTGTATTGGCGCCGTTGTAGGGAGCATTGTTATGAAGGCTTAGGAGAGTTCTAAACATTGATTCGTTAGTGTCGAATGGTTCCAACGATAAACGAACCCACGTTTTCGAATGGGCATTTTTGAAGAGTTGAAACAGTCATGTCGATGTAACATGACGCCATCCATATGTGATTTAGTGGTCAGGGGAACATATATGAGCCATAAAGAAGCTTTCGACCCCGCCTATTTGATTCCTAACTTCAATCAGAAGTCCACTAGCGAGTGTCTCATCGGTGAGCCGTTCGTTTCAGGCTTCACCAAGAGAATGAGATGTAGCATTTGAGAGAAATTATAGTTGTATCTATATAAATATATATACATATATATGTATATATATATATATATATATGTATATATAATGAACAACTTAATGTCACAAACGGTTCTGTCCATGTGTATTCAAAATTATGGGTTTTCTATATTTTCTCTGGTTAGCTGTTTGTTCGCTTGAGACCCGAGGTAAATCTAACCGGGACTTCCTTAAGTCGTCACTACATTATAGCAGTCGCCGGCTCTTGTGGATCAAAGGGAAATTACCACCTTGCGACTAGTAGCTACAAAGGCGATGGTTATCCATAGTACAGCTCGTTCATAGCTGGGCTTTTCGGGTGGGAACGTCGGACTCGGCTAGGGTGGTCCTGTCGTAGGTTGAACCCTTCACTCTACTTCGCAGTCGAACATTCAGGTATACCTCTCAGCCAAGATAAGGCGCTAAACCATTTTTGAGGAGAATTTCAATAAAAGAACTACAAAGTCTTCTACATGTCGCTGTAGTTGCTTTGTAGATGATTTCAAAGAGCTAGAACGGAGTGAACGAATTCGTTGTTCTTTTCTTGGTCTAGATAGATCAACTTGAACACTGATAAATAGACGACTAAGTGTAATCAACTGTAAGTTTTCTATTGATTAATGGATCAAGTGATTGACTAAGCCTGCCTGTGGTTTTTCTAAAACCTATTCAGGCATCCCTACCTCCGTTCCAGGTACTTGAATTGTTCGTATTAATATATAATATAATTGTTATAAGCCCAGTAATGTTGAATGATGTACAGAACTCCGAGCTACGAACGGCACCCGAGCCCTCATTTCACCCTTTCTGAGGACGCGTGCTAACCTTTTGCACTACCGGGGTTTCTGATCTGCTATCGCTTATTCTAGAGCGCATGTGGCGCGCAGTGGTTAGAGGTGCACTGCCTCTCATACTAGGTCGATGGTTCGATCTAACACTCATGGCTCACCAAGCCATCCAACTCTCGGGGTTCGCTAAATTAGTACCGGATTGGTCGCATACTTATGTGAGAGGATGAGCAGCATTGACTCGATGCAGCGGGGGACCACCGTGGAGTCATTGTAAAGGCCAGATATGCATTCAGTCACTCCAAACAAAATCAAAACTTTGAAGACAAATGCGAGGCGCATCCTTCAGGGATTGATCAACGTCAAGAGCTTTATCCTTTATCGAATTTTCAACGACCCGTATGTGGTATTCGGCTGTATCAGTGCGGTATATCGGTGGCTACTTTTTGATAAAGAATAAATCAGACTTTTTTCAAAGTAATTTTACTCACTTCACGTTTGTCATCATCCTGTTTCGACCAAGTGATAGTCGTTTTTTTTTGACATGCCGGGTGCTTTGTCAGTCGCTTAAGGCGCTACTCACAGCACTATGCATGGAATCTGCTGGTCGTTTTACATCTAACTATCAAATACTTCCATTTCCTATGAAAATTTAGTTTTCGGATCATATGATTTTAGATGAGTGACTTAGTGTCATGCTCTTCGTTTTGTGCTTCCTTGCGCTTTATTTTTACTTACAATCGTTTTCAAAGTGTTTTCGTGTTCTGTCTACTTCAATGCAGTACTCAGATATCGGACCGAATTGCGAAGCGGATTGCGGCGGTGACAGTGCATCGTCCCGTTTGACTAATATCATCCTCTCAGGTGAGTATCGTCCTTATGTGTCTTTCTAATTTATTGTTTCTTTTTTTAGTAGTCATTTTCTATTGTTGACGTTCATTT